AAAGGCGGAGGCTATAGAGGCTATAGGGTGATCATTATCGACCAGATGTTGAATCATTGCGCTTCTTATTGCTTCACTTCCACCTCTTCGTAACCATGCAGGATAGTGTTCTTGCACCCTCTTGAACAAAACTAGAGTCGAGCGACCGATATACCTAGCTCCACACCAGCAGGTGAATTGATAAACACACATAGAGTTGGTCAACAGCGGGATATTGTCCTTCAGGTTATTGAACAATAATGGTCGACTGGTAAAGGCTATTCTCAAAGATGCAGCAGGGAATGTTCTTTTCAGGGACTGTGATATCCTTCGTTTCATGATATCAGAAGCTAAGTCCCCTTTGAATTCCAAGCTCATGTAAAGTATTTTCTTGGGTACGGTTCATAAGTCACATTTTTTAGGATTTGAATGTATATTCTTATCTATAAAACGTGGTGGAAATCCATTTTCTATTAGGATTTTCCTCAAGATGTATAACTCATCCTCCACAGTATCAGGGTTGCATTTGCGCCGAATACGAGTGGCAAGCGGCCGGACCAGGTTTCGTTTTCGACCGATGCGTACCCAGCTGTAGAAATTTGTCAGTTTACCATTCCATGACAGCTTTCGATAGATCGATCTCTTCAGAGTCCCATCGATTCTCCTTGATAAGTTCACATCGAGGAAATGAATGCTAGACTCGTTCTCCATTTCGAGTGTGAATTTTATCGCTGGATGGCAACCATTAAATGCTTTTAATATATTATTCAAATTACAATCACTATTACAAATAATAAAGGTGTCATCTACATACCTTTTATACATTTGAAAGCTTTGGATTGTTGACTTCAATTGACCATATTCTAGACCGGCCATAAAACAGTTTGCAAGGAGTGAACCCAAGAGAGAACCCATTGTAATACTACCATTCTGTCTGTAGATTGTTTTATTGGAAGTAAACTGTGCATTCAATGTACATCTCAAAAGTAGTTCCTTCAAGCCTGTAGTGGGTATCCCTATATTCAATGTGTTTTCTTCAATATATTCAGTATACTATACTATTTGTTTTGCTATTTGACATTGGACTATGATTTTAACCATAAATATTTTAATTACATTTCATACTATTATTATTATTATTAAATGCATTCACAGCTATGATTCGATTCCTTCACCGGATATAATTTCTTATAAAAAACCATATCTGTACAGCTTGTACAGCTTGATAATAAATTCGTTGAAAAGAGTCTCGGCGCTGAATTACTTGTTTTGATTTTCTATATGTAACAGTGGGAATTTTGCGCGAATTAAAAAGGTGGATAGACAGATAGATCGGTTGAAGGGTTTCATTATGAGCTGATATCAGTTAGAGAACCAGCCGATCAAGCACAATCCCTACAAAACCAATAATGGAAGATAGACATATAGCATTAGTTTCGTAAGTTAGAACTCACAGGTCATCGAATTCCCTCCCTTTCCCCACCACGTGACTGTTTGCTTACAATAAAATTCCTGACTTCAGTCCACGTTGGGGTCGTGGATGACTGACTGACTGACGGGTTTCAACATAGAAGTTTGCAACGATGTGCAGCAGTTCAAGTCACCACACTCCTTCCATGTAGCACACAAAGCAAGAGAAGAAAGTAAAAAGAAATGCAAAACAGAGACAGTAGACAGAGATATGAGACAAAAAGAATAGTAATATTGAAGAACAATATAGTTTAATTGGAAATCATAAGTCACAAGGAGTGGATACATTTGCGCCAGTCATTGAGAACGACCCTGAGCCATATCACCAATTGTCTCCAGCGTTCATTGATGTTCACCGTCCCGAGGACCCCAACCAGGAAGTCTATACCTCCCAACGTAGCTTAAACTAGCTGTTGTGGATTTCATTGACTGATGAAGCCATGTTGGTTTTGGTTTGACCACCACTACCACCAGCTCTTTTCCAACCTGACCCTATGTCAGTTAACATTACCCGTCGGTCGAGGAAGACGATGGCTAGGCATGCGTAACATGGACTTCAAGATTAGGTCGAAATAGCTAGCAAATATTCCTCAGTTATCAGTGATCCTCAAGCTGATTTACGTTAAAGACAGAATCCACATTTCAATCAGTCATTGAAAAAGAAATCTCATTAAGCGGTATACTTTGAAACAAAAGCAAAATTTTGAATTAATTTGTGTACACAATGAGTTAATTACTCGTTTTTGCATGCGTAAGTTGTTGGTTTTCTTCTTACAGACTCTTCAATACTAGACAGCATTAATTATTAGTGTTAATTAAATACCACACTGTCATCCAGCTCCAACCCATCCACCCATCCACTACCCCTCTTCCTGTTTTTATTAATCCAATAATTAATTAGAGTAAAAATGCAATCAAACATAATCGCTGTAATAAAGATGGTGATCTCTGAAAAATCTGCAGAGTTTAACTCATATTTATTGATTATTTATTTAACAAGTGGTGGTCATTATACATTTAGATTCTTTTTCCATAGACATCAAGAAATAGTCACAACGAAACCTCGTAGATGATTCATCCAGCCACGGGAACCCTATTCAATGGCTCACCCATGAATTCTGACTTCTACCAATTCGCGATTTTTAACGCGATTGACACTAGCCAATGTCATCGGTTGGACATCCATCCTCAAACTTGACTGATTGGACCTCACTGGTCACTATTTCTCACTAGAACTCCAGGAAACTCCGTCCTGTAGCCAGTCCTGGGTTCGAACCCTGGCTGGTGGGTGCTTACTGCCGATGAGTCGCAAACTAAGAAGAAACAGTTAGTTAGTTATTTCCATGCCTGGATGAGTATTTTTCGTGAATTAAAAATTAAATTGAAAATTACACACACGCATACACAGGAAGTTACCTGGAGTTCTAGTGAAAAGTCGTGACTAGGAGGGTCCATCACCAGGTCGGGAGTTTGGACAGATACTCGCCACCGGCGCCTTTGGCTAGTGCTAGCCGTGCTAAAATCACTGTTCGGCAGAGGTTCGAATTTATGGACTATTGCATGGAGTCCCAATGTCCTAATGGTCTACAAACTGGCCTTGTAACCGGAAAATCCTGGATTCGAACACTGGTTAGTCGGTGCGTACAGATGAAGAGACGAAACAGATGTTCACTGCTCCCAGCTGGTTTTCCAATGGTTCTCTAACTAATGTCAAGCTGTGATTAAACCTGTAGCCAATCAAATCTCTGCAAACTAACACTTGATAATTCAAAACAAATGGTTACGTAATATATAAAATAGTCCTTAACGAAGACAGGTGTGAAGAGAATGCGCATAGGAACAGATTGAAATGATAGTTTCGATAACTGGTGAATGTAGAGGTTGGAGTAATTTTGTTCGAACGGATTTGCCGGGGATGTTATTTAGAAAAAGTACAATTTTACAACTCTTTGAAGATGAAATCATGGAAAAGACAGGTCTACTGGCCAAAATGTTTGTTCTTTTTGTTCTGTCTAATGTCCTGACTGGTGTTTTCCGTGATTGAGAAACATAGACTCACACTATGTTCCTTTTCCAGCTTATCAATGTCAAAATAATCCCTATTTCCAATTCAATATGGTTTGGTAGATGAACTGGTCGTGCCTTCTTAGGAGTCCTTCAAATGCTAGGTAGGCTTTTAATTAGAACGCGAATGAGAGACAACGGGTTGATTGAGGATTCCAATGTGACATAGAGGAGAAAATAAAAGCTTTGGTAACTGTCGTTATGCCAACTAAAGATAGCGTCAGAAAATTGTTATTATTCCCTTGGGTTCCGAGTCGAATATAGGGCTTCAACAACACATCTCCACTTTCTCCTATTTGGCGCTGTCCTCTTCAGCTGGCTGGCCACGCGACTGCTGATTATCTCTCAATTTCTCCTTCACCAACTCACACTATCTCCTCCATGTCACCGTTGCACCGATGGCCCACTCGTTGATTCCCATTCGAATTACACTCGAGCGATGACCTGCATTGTGCGCGATGTCAGTGGTGTATGCCCAATCAATCCATCTACATTTTCTCCTACATATTTGCTGGGCGATCGGCTCTTGTTTGGTTAGTTGCCAGTGGGAGTTTCTTGCTGTGAATTCTCTCTGGTTGGCCTACCACCTGATCTTCAGTGTGGAGCCAGCGAAGGCATCTTCCAACAAACGTCTTCTAGTCTGTCCCAAGCTCGAGTAAGGAGGGGGTATTGGGTGGGGGCTAGCGACGCTAACCCGCCCCCCCAAAACCAATCCAACTGCTACAGAAACTTCAATGCATATTACGAAACTGCAGACAGTACAGATAGTCTCTCGTAGCCAAATGTTCCATTTGGAATCCCAGTGGATGAATTATGATAATAATAATAATAAAAACAGTCTAAATTTTTCATTTCCACCATCATAAGATTTGCCATCATTGACTGGACTTCAAAACAGCTTAGTCTGACTGAGTCCATTCTCTCTCTCTCCCTACCTAACATGTGTGTGGTTCATATAGCCTTAAATTCTTTTTAAACCTTGTTAGTGGATGTATGCGTTTGTTTGTGTGTATGTGTGCATGTGTGTACAGTAGTAGAGACTAAAATCAATCCAAACTTTAAATCATATGCATGTGATTCTGCATAGTGTGTATATTACTAATACACTTATTTCATTACATTAAACTCAGTTGACATATTTTTCGAATCATGCTATTTAAATTCAAGTTTGAAATTGTTCTTTTTTTTAATGTTCAAATAAATAATGCACATTTTGATGCACCTTGCATTTATTGATCAATTTTAAATTTAATATTGATCTAAAAATTTAAACTACTTCATTAAAATTTGAATGTGGTCCGTATTTTTATCAACATATTGTGGCGCGATGATTAACAATTAATTACAAGACAAAAAACAATAACATTGATATGATTGGTTCTTTACACTGATTGGTCAATTTGCTTTAACCAATCAGAATAAAGCATTTTTATACTCAAAAATTTGGTATGTGTGATTCACGGAAATATTGAAAAGACGGCAGTTCTCATGTTTCTATCACACCAACTGCAACTGCAACTGCAACAACACTGACAGCAATTCATTGCTAACATTTTTTTCAAGAGACAATTGTCAATGCAATAATATTTAAATTAAAGGACTTATATAAATTATATCAAAGACATTTTTGAATTTTGTAATTCATATATGATTTTAAATTTCGCCTTGTATTCAAACATATATTAAAAAACGTTACATTTCATAATTATCAGTGAACCATATATAAGCTTCATCTGCTGACCTCTACGAATATATAAGGTGAGTGTGTGTCTGTTAGCTTAATGCCTATTGTAACTTGATCCCATTGATGACCTTGAACATCTACAGGTAGGTTGATAACATTATTTCAAGCTTGATCACTCACGGGGCGATGCGGGTTAGAGAATCATTGAAAATCAGGCACTGGGTACTGGAAAGCGGTTTCGTCCCAGTGTTTAGGACTCCTCAGCAGCATACACCAATGACTGCAACTGAGAATGGTACTCCGGTAAAATCAGGTTGTGAGACCAATCCATTTAATTACTAAGCAAATTTAAGATAGAATTAAATGGCCTTCGAATTCTAAATTTTGTAGTTTCGCGATTTTTTAACATCATGGCCAGCCAGTGTCATCCATAAGTATTTTTTCCTCACGACCGACCTGCTCTAACCCACTGGTCATTTCATTCTCTGATAAGTCACAGGTTAGCGTCAATTTGTAGGGATTTCTCCACCGAGTCTTACAAAATAAAAGGCGTTCGGTGAAGACTTACTCATCTTTTCAGCGATGTCATTCTCAGACTGTACAATCGCATTTATATGGTAAATCATCTTAGCAACAGAGGGAATATTTCCAAAGATGCATGATTAGAACTGTAAATTTTAGATGACTAATTACGTAACTAATAGGCAGAAATACCGAGAAACTGCCTGTCCCGCTTACTAAAGAAAACCCCCTCCTTGCGGGTGAACTTCGAATAACTTTCTCTACGAAAGCAATGATTTGCATGAACGTGAAGGATAAGCTACTACTGTTGGCCACCTCATCAATGGGCATCTACCGACTCACCCACCAGTGTGGAGATAGGCATGTTGGCCGTATGCAGTGTTTGCTCTCGTCTGGAGCTCTATCCTGGAACACCTGATTCAATCTAGATAGCAACCTAACCCTCTAACAAAGAAATTTCAAAGTAATATACAGAATACATTAGAATCTCTCTAAAAGAGTACGAATTAAACTTCTCCAAACCGCAGAATCACTGGTAAATCATTTTTTAAAATTCTGAACTCTGCATAAAAAAGAAGAGGTTTGTTCAGTCATTAAATCTACAATCGACCTGATCTATTTTAACACCATATGCGTAATTCTTGTGTATTTTGTTTCTTAATTGTATCATCTTCTTCCCTTATCTCTTCATATAAAATTTCGACACCTTATTATCACTGTTGTTCATTTGACTGTCGTTGAATTTTAGTCGGATTCTACTCAACTCCGTCAATTATATATATTTTTTCCTTCACGTTCCCCAGTGGAACAAAGGGCTTCAAGCTAGTGGCTTGAAGTTTCTTTAGCAGTGTTTATTTTACAGGATGGGGTTGCTAGCCTCATGACCAACCTTTCCTCTTCACCAGCATTATTTCTGGCTTAGCAAGGTAAAGGAGTGCGTCGACCGCGGATCGAACCCCGGACCATGTGCATGGTCGGCAAGCATCCTAACCGCTATGCCACCGACGCACAAAAAAGGTGAATCCATACTTGCCGGAACCCGTCACTTAATCGACTTATTTAATTTCATTCTAGTTTACTATCCCATTAACGCTTTCTACATTACGTAATTTGCTATCTAAAATTTACAGTTCTAATGATGTATCTTTGCAAATGTTCCTTTTGTTCATAAGATAATTTAATATATATATATATATCTATACAAGCGATTGTGTAGTTTGAGAATGATATCGGCGAAAAGACTAACTCTTCGCAATCAATAATGGTCTCTGAGCTGGTTGGTTTAGTTGCGGAGCTTTCGTCGTCCCCCTGCTGGACAACATCCCCTTTCAGCGCAATATTTACCACAAATTGAAATAATTTAAATTTCTTCATGAGTGATATAATTGCGTCTCCTGGTAACCATCTTTACATATGTATTGACCATTTTCTATTGACTTGGATTTTAAACTTTCTGGTCACCTGATTTACTTTTTATTAGTTGGTATATTTCGTCTATATTAACGTGTTTGTTAATTGCATTTTCGTTTGAGTACCAGGCTTCTTGGAATTCCCTGACTGCACTTTTGGTGTTTCCTCTGTCTAAATTTCGACATTATCCTAGTCATCAAATTGATGACCATAATTGCCTATATGAATTGATACTTAAGAATACATATCGTGTCTTTTCACGGCTGATTTGTGCTCTTGGATTCTTATTCGAAGGAGACGCCCTCTTTGGCCGATGTAATGCCTGTTACAGTTCATACAATTTATTTTGTAAATGGTATTAATTTTATCTCCTTTTTCTGTTGGATCTTTTGGTTTGCACAATATCGAATTAAGCGATTTTACTGGCTTGTGTGCTATATCTATATCAAACGGTTTCAGTATTCTAGCTGTTATTTCAGAGATATTTTTCATGTATGGTAGGATGAATTTTCTTGTGGTCTTTGATGATGGTTTCTTGTTGGTGTTTTGATTCGACTTTAAACACTTTTTGATGAAATTTTGTGGGTAACCATTCTTTTTCAAGACCGTTTGTAGGTATTTTTCTTCCAATTTTTTCAACTCTGGAGTGCTACAATGTGTTTGAACTCTTTTAAACAATGTCTGCACACAGTTTCGTTTGTGAGTAACTGGATTATTGCTAGTATAGTTGAGTATTTGATCTGTGTGCATTGATTTTCTATATACTTGTGTTTCTAAATCTTCTGTGTTGGTTCTCCTGATTAAGACATCTTCTCTGAATATAGCAAAAATATTCATTCAGACATCTATAAAACACAAAATGATTGAGTAAAGAATATTCTTTTCGATAAATTCCTCTTCCGGCTCTACAGTTATATATATATGTTTATATACACAGAATATTTTAAATTAGTAGCCAATAACAATATTAGTGTTTTTTTAAATAATATCGATTTGTAAAGTAAAATCACAATGGAACCACAGTTCATTAAAGATGCTCAAACTATAATAATAATAAAGATATAGTAGCGAATAGAATATCAACTAAAATTAGGAAAATTCCACAAAATTTCTGGATTATTGAAACCTGGATGGCCAAGGTAGTGATTGATCATGAATTATTAATAGTTAGACAACTACTGGGAACCAGTAATGTAGAGTGCTGGATAGCTGTTTCATCCTAGTGTTTGGGACTCATCAGCAGTATGCACTACTGGTCCCAGTACGGATTGATTCCAGGACCTTTAGACTACGAGATGTGCTAGATGGACATTTGGTTACTGGGATGGGATCCAACACCTGGCCTGTATATTCAAACCTCTAACTGTTATTATCTTAAACAATATTGGGCATGATATTTCCCCTCAATAATATATTAGCGCATTTTAGTGGGATAAACTTTTGACTTCTAAGTTATAGCACTGGTTGTTCTGAGGGTGAGACTGTCTAGAGCAGTGGTTGTTAATCCTACACGCCTTGTGAATTTTCAGTCGCTTCGACTTTAAGATAAATCAGCTTCTCAGACTGCTTGCGTCTGTGGCTAAGCGGTAGAATGTTCGCCGGCCATGTATTTGGCTCGGAGTTCGATCCCCGACCGAAGCACTCCTTAACCTCGGTAAGCCAGTAATAAGACTGGTAAAGAGGGAAGGTTGGACATGAGGCTAGCAATCCCATCCCGTAAAAGTAAGCAATCCTGCAACCGAGACTTCAGAACTCTAGCTTGAAGTCGCCCAATGTTCCACTGGGAACGTAAAGGAATAAAATAATAATTACACAAGTAAAAAGGGTTTTGATGAAAAGGACCACTGATCACATAAGAAATACGGCTGTTAATAATAAATTGTACATCAAGAACTCATCCAGTAAATATAGGAACACAGGGCAGTTTCAAGCTACAGCTTTGGAGTGCTGATAGCATTAGGTTTATTTTCACAGGATGGGTGTGCTAGCCTGCCTCATGCCCAACCTTCCTTCTTTACCGGTCTTATAACTGAGTTAGTGAGGTTTAGGAGTGTAAATGCTGAGGACTGAACCTCGGATCACGTCAGGTGTGGTTGGTGAGCGTCAGTGAACCACTGACGCATCAATAAACCTAGTGTTATGAGTGAAATACGAACCCACACGCACACAGTGGACTGAGATGCGAACGTAGCTACGTCTCGGACCTGTCGACCATCTTGATAACAAAGTAGGTTACGCAAATTATAAAGTCGTTCATTGTTGGAAATATAAATCGCAGAAGGGGGTGTAGAATTAACATATTTGGGAAACTTGGGCATTGTATTAATAGGTGTTTACACATTAATTTGTTTATTAGATATATCACACAGTTAGTGAAAGAGTATTCTTTACCTAATGATAAGTTGTCGAACATAATTCATTCCTGGTAATCACATCATCAATTACAACTGCAGAACTTCGAAACCCGAGTCTTATAGTTTTCTATATTCCTTTCCTTTCGTCGATGTAGAGGTAGTAGAATTTTCCAGATGTTCAGCTGGATAGGTGTTGAATCATTCCCATTACATGTGTTTGCCGTTGATTCGATAAACAAAGCTTCCGTTGTTATCAATTTCTCCCTCCAGCACGTTATGTTGGATTTAAAAACTGTCATCTTATCCCATCCATCCTATTGTATGCCTGTGTGTAATTACATACAGGGCTGAAGTTGAGCTATTTACTAGATTTCCTATCTTATTAGGGTCAACTGATCTAGACTTTGCTACTAGGTATTTTGCTCCGCTAGTCTGACTGACTGACTCTGTTCTATTACTTTGACCTGTGTGTTTTACCTGACAAATTGTTTTGTTTAATTGACTCTACAGGACCCTTTAACCGATAGAGCTTGTTGCTAATTGAGTTTTCTTTTGGGGGGGGGGTCTAAATGCCGGCCACTTTTATTCCTGCATTGTTAAGAATGTTACGTAATGTTTTCAAGGTGCCACCGATGATTTTAATTCCCTATTGCTGGTGTTGTCACATCATTCTGTATATGTTTGATATACACATCGTCATTAATATAATAATAATTGCATGGAGGATTTCATCATGAGCTGACATCAGTTAGAGAACCACTGGAAAACCTGGGAGTACTGGACAGCTC